GCAGGCCAGATGCAGGCAGAAAGGAGCTAGCACACCTTTGCTGTGCTCCTGGGGAACAATAACAACCTTTGTTTCTTGAAATGACCAAGTGAGCTTGAAATATCAAAGGCACCATGTGTGACAGGGCACAATAACCCGTGCTGTTACCTGCAATAAGACTAAGACATCCCCTCCTGTTCCCCGCCTCCTCGGGAGTCTCCACGCCTCTTCTCATGCTTGCAGCCAGTCCTCCCACTCAAGCAGCCACTGCCACAGGCTTTGATGGCCACTAAAATCAGCAAATGGCTGCCTCCGAGCCTGGCTTGCAGCCTCTGCTCCTGGGAGCCAAGTGCCATGCCCAGGGCTTCCTACCACCCATTCTGCAAGGGCAGGAGCATTCCCAGCCAGGGAGACATCCCTGTGCTGCCTGTCACCAGCCAGCAAACCCTCCCTGAGCAGCAGGGAGTGAATGTGAGCCTCAGAGCTGCAAATGGCATCTTGGAGGGGCTCTGCAGGGATGGGAAACAATCTGTGCTTGGAAGCAGAAGGCTGGTCTCTTAGAGGAGCCAGAAAGCAGTCCTAAAATGCAAGGGAGAAGATGGATAGTGACCCACCAATGGTATCTGAGCTTGAGCTTATTATCCTTAGTATCTTCCAGTAAATGGACCTCGTAGGAGGCCTTTTGGCAGTCTCAGCCCCTTTCAACAGCTCTCTCTTTAATTGCAGCCCCATTTCTTTGCTTTTCTTGAGCAGTCGCAAGGATTAATATGGCATTTGGGCTCCTGCTTTCCAGCTGTGATGAGCCAGGAGGGGCAGAGGCCCAAGGGTGGCACACCTTCATTCCCTGAAGCCCCAGCAGTTTTGATGTTGAGTGCATGTGGGAAGGAAGATAGGTGGTGAGGAAGGAGAGACCACTGGTACACAGCCACCTTTCAAGGAGCAATCCTGATTTAGAGCTGAGACCCACATTTTAATAGGGACAGTAAATATCCAATCTGGGAAGCCACGATCAGGGTGTTTTTGACAGGGGGAAGAAGGGAAAGGTCCCAGCCTTGCTGCAGCTGAAGTGGGGCTTTTCAGACCCCTGGACTTCCATCCTGCAGTGCAGGGAACTGCAAACACTGTCAGCAGCGAGTGGTCTCCCGTGTGAAGCAGAGCTGCTGTCCCCATGAGGGGCTGCAGTGGCACTCACTGAGGAGGCTCAGTTTTTTTACCTAACACATTGAAATTGCATCTGTAGTACTTTTACAATTGGTCTGTGCCTACCTTCTCTCCCAGCGTGACTTGTGTTTCTTCAAACAAATTTCCCTGTGGCTGGGTTTGTTGGGGACTTTTCTCATTATTCTCTGACCAGTAAGATTCCATCCCCTGGCCTCCCCCACCCCATTTTTCACTTTGCATCAGCTGCATGCTGCAGGAGGTTTACAGAGCCATTCATGGACCCTGCTTTTGTGGGTGGTGTTGTCCTTGCAATCTTGCATCCCTGTAACAGCCCGTGTTCTGCAGGGGAAGTGTCAGCAGAGAGCAGAGGGCTTGCAGCTGGTGGTACCACCTGCCTGAGCTGAACTGCACATGCTGACCTCAGGCTTTCTTGTGCTCCTTCGCCTGCTGTGTGCTGGGATGAGGCCCTCTCAGCATGAACATGGGATTTTGATTTGTGTAAGGGTTATCTGGACTCCAGCATTAGGTGTGGCTCGGTCCCACGTATGAGCACAGACCACCTGAGAAGGGCATGGCTGCTGTGCCCTGTTGCTTCTCTTCTTTTTCTAAGTGAAGGCACCTATTGCACACCTTGCCCCATTAAGTCATGGGCCCTTAGATTTATTTCTGTCCCATTTACCTGGTTTTGCCGTGGTCTGACATTCACTTCTGGGCAACAGTTTGAGACAAATGCTTTAAAAACACTGCAAAGCAAAAAGAAGTGGGTAGATGTTTTCTACATTCTTTTATTTTTGTATGTATGCCTGGTTCTTAGTAAGTGTCTGAGGGGGAAAAAGAAGATATATATATATATATATAACTGATGATTTGTTGCTCTCTCTTTGGAAAAAGTCCAGACTGTAGAACAGGGCTAAAATGCCAGGAAAGAGTTTGCTGCATAGAGGCAGGCTTATGTTATTTTATTTTATGCATTCCTTGGATAACATATTTTCTTTAATTTCAGATCCTGGAGAAATCATTTTAGATCTTTATTCAGCACAGTTTATTTGCTCTTCTTCTGAGTTTTCCTTATTTTTAGAAAGGTGAAGTGTGTTCCCAAATTAAATCGTTACTGGGATGGACTTCAGCCAAGAGGATCCATGGTTCAAGCCGTAAGGCACAGGAAACACAAGAGTCAAACAATAGAGTTCTATATTGTGTTTCATTTGGCAGGGTGAGGAGAGATATGGCCTTGAAAGATTTGTATTCTTACATAGCTGTAATATATTTTAAAAGACAGTAAGAACTATTTTCACTTCTCACTTTGCTTAAAAAAATAAGCACACACAGAAATGCTGAAAATGTTGGGATTGCCAGATGGTCCTTAGTTCTGGGGATCTCAGAGATGCTTACAGTAACATCCCAAACATTAGCTGAAGAGAGCTGATCCTTTACCTTTTTGCTGATATGCTTGTCCCTGCTGCAGCTTCAAAGGCAGAGCTTGCAGCAGCCTGGCCCCAAGCCAGGGTCCTCAACGAAGCATCCGTGGATTATATTCCTTATTGTCAGCCTCTCACTTCAGTGATCCGGAGCCCCTTCTCTAGCTGGGACAGTTTTACAGCGACAAAGCAAAGCCCTGCAAAGCTCCCAGGGGAAGGTTTGCCTTCAGCACACCCAGGAGCCTTAGGAACACATTGCCACTGCCAGGGAGCAAGAACACGCCTGCCTTTGCCATGGCTGTGGCCAAATCCTCTCCATGGCAGTGCTCTGGAAAGCAGGGCAGCCACTGCCTGCAGCTGTGGGCACGTGAGTATGAAGCCATTTGCTGGTGACACTCTCCAGGGCTGGGGTGACGCTCCCTGGCTGCTCCATGGGCTGCCTGCCAGCCAGCTGGGACCTCACTGCTTCCCCAGCTGAGCTGCTAAAGCTGCAAGATTTAGAAGCATAATATAAAATTGGATTAATACCTGAAAATTAACTGTCCCTGCTAAGCAGCGCATTAAAACATGTCCTTACACAGGGAAGAAATGTATCCCAGCAACAAAAACAAACAGCTGGCAAAATGGGGTCTGGTATCCCCTTTCCAGCTTTCTGAAAGGTGTCTTGAGTTTATAATGAAGTCACTTTGTTTCCAAGCACCCTAGTGTTTGGAAACAGCATGTCCATCCCTTTATCAGCTGGCCGGAGAGGCATCAATAAGGAATCAGCTGGAACCAGCCTCTCTGTAAGCCAGAGACACAGAGTCCCTTGCAGCCTCCCCACCGAGCAGTGTTGCACAGTGCCCAGGAGGAGCACCAGGCATCCATGACAGAGAGCAAGAGCTTGGGAGAAACCACTGACTTCCAGGCAAGTCATGCCAGAGCTCCTCCATGATGCATCACCCCATCTAACACTGCTGGGGTACTGAAATTCTGCAAAGCACCCAGGATCGCTTGGCATCTGATGGCTTGCAGGCTCCTGATTCAATATGGTGCTTAAGGCTCTGTATCCATAGCCAGGATGCACACTGCATTTTTACCAAGATCTCTTCTGTGTGTTGATGGACCCTCTGACATGGTAAATGGGGCTTGTGGCAGGGCCATGTGCTCCCTGCTGCTCCTGCAAAGGAAAGTCTCCACCCCAGACTGGTTTGTCCAAGAGCCAACCCCTCAGAGGCACTTGAAGTTCCTGCAGCAGAAGCTCGTGCTTTCCAGGGAAAAAGGTCTTAAAACCTCACAAGAAACAAAATAAATGCCATTTATGTTACTTTTTAAAGTAATATAAATGTCAGTAAAGAGCTTGTGTTAGAGGCAAGAAAAATAACGTGGGAGAACCTTTGACCTAGTCAGCTCTCATTTCTTAAACTGTCTCACTAAATTGCCATTGGTCTATGCTTATAGACTTGTACTTCCCCTCTTGAAAAAATTGGAATTTCAAGCATGCTGGTCATCACCTATTTTTAGATTAAGCCCCTGTTCAGGCACAAAAATACAATGATCACTAAGAATGCTAAAATTCTAAATAGAAAATGTTAATTGTTAATTTTGAGTGGCAGGTTTCTTTCACACCCTTCGTTCCAGAGACAGAAGCAACAGAATTGCATTCAGCAATGCACAGCACAAGCCTCTAGTTTGATGAGACCCTTCCACAAGAGAATTGAAAACATTAGACTTGTATGGATGAAAGAAAGATGAGGGAATTCACTGGAGCTAATAATTATGAGGAAAATAACCTATGATGCTTACAGTCACTATCTCTAAATGGAATCAGGAATGAACCTGAAGCATAAGACACTTATAAAGGTAAAAAAATTAAATAGCTGTGGCTGGCACATGAGCTTGCAAAAGGCCCTTGCCAAAAGCACTGCAGAGGCCAGATGGTTAGGAGGATTTAGAGCAGGACAAGGCTTTGATACCAAGTAATGGGAACAGCCAAAACTACAGCAGACAGGTTTAAAAATAAACCAAAACAAGGAGGTCATGTTCTCTCATGCACCGTGCCAAAAGTCAGCCACCAGAGAAGCTTTTCTGCAGTGGGGAGGTTTCATTTGGGGATCCAGGGTTTACAGGGCTTTACTTGGAAAAATGGATGGATCCAAAGGAGCAAAGATAGTGTCAGGGGACCATTTTATGAAATGCTGCTGGTTCTCACATCCACCAGCTCTTCTGAGAGCCATCATTCCCCACTCATGTGCCTTTACATGTTCATACTCACCTAACATGAAGATTAGATCTGTCATGGGCCTACAAAATCAGGAATCAGTCTCCAGACCAGCTAGGCTCCCCTTCAACCTCCCTTCTTGGGAACAGTGTTCTGCCAAGATAGGAAGCTCCCTCATTCCACTTTCCAGCGGCCCCCCTTGGCCAGGCAATCAAAAATAAAAGCTGTCACACACATCTTGGTTTCCTTTCATACTTTGTAAATTTTTTTAAATTTTTATTCTTATCTCCTCCTTTTAAGCATCCCTTTAAGGGTGAAATGAAATCCAACCATTTACAGAGAAAATGATTTCAGAATGTACATTTGATTTATCCTTACAAAAAGTTCATTATTACTTGCTGTTTATAAATTACAGAGTTGAAAGGAGCTTTGCAGGTGCTCTTATTTTTTCTTTTCTTTTTAGTTTTTGGCAAGTCCACGCATTCTTTTTCCAAAGCAGGGTGTCCTGGAGCTCCTCCAGGAGCAACACCAGCAGTAGGTCCAGGTGGACCCCAGGCTCAGAAGTGCTGCTGGACCACCTCCAGGATGATACTGCATCATCATCCACACAGGCAGGAAAAAACAGTGGTTTGAATTCCTAGTCTCAGAGTATTTCAGATCCCTTCTTAATCCATTACCTGTAGTGCCCAAAGCTTTAAAATGTCAGTGTATTGCATTAGAAACAGTTCTTCTTTCTCAATGCTGGATCTGAGCCCCTCCTGCCACTCCCCTTGCCCTCCAGCTCCCCTTCCCTTTCCCCAACAGGAGTGAGTTTGTCCAACATCTCAGAAATCAGAAAGGAGGGGTTTAGGGAGGGTAGGGAGAACACAATGATGGAGGGATACAGGATCCATTCTCCCACTCACTTCCCTCCTTTCTCACCAAGGTTAGAGATCAGTGAAGCCAGGACGAGCCATCCCTTCCCTCTTCACTATCAGTGTTCACTATTGGAACCAGGAGTGACCCTGGACCCATGAATTCACAGTGCAGAGGCATAGCAGCCACAGAGATTGCCAGCAGGAGCTGGGACACAGCAAGAGGGCCCTGGGGATACTGAGGAGGGGAAGAGACACCATCCCACAAGGAAAGAGCAAGGCAGGCAGAGGGGAATGAACACCCATTCTGCTCCGACACTCTCCCTCCATGCCAACTCAGCTTCCTTGTTACCTGTCACAGAGACACAGAGTAGGCTGGCCTGGGCAGCACAACAACAAACATCTCAGCAGGACACAGGGATCAGAGAAAACAATAGCAGGCTTGAGCAAGTCATCCTTCATACCAACCACAGGCACAAAGTCACCGTGTCTTTTCTGTCACTTGGGTGTGGCAATACCCCCAGATGGGCAAATATGTCTAACCTGCCCTACTCTGCTTTAGCAAGCTCACCTGCTGCAGGTCCACCAAAGCCCATGTCCTTCCTTTCACTTGGGGCAAAAGAGGAAGAGGTGTTCTCCAGTCCAAAGCCATGCACAGGGCCACCATGTCTTTCTAGGCGGGAAACACAAAGAAAGACAACAAGAGACAGACAGAAAGAAGTGCAAGGCTTGGGTGTGCCACACACTGCTTCACCTGTTTCCTGGCCCCCCTTTTTACCATTTGAAGGTAAAAAAGGTGTTTGGAATGAAAAAGCACAAGGCTGAAGAGGGCTGCAGGAAAAGGCTGGTGATGCATTCCCTCCATCCATTGGACAGTTTGGTCCAAGAGACACAGCAGGATTCACTGCCCACTGTCTGTGGGCTGCAACAACCCACAGACATCAGGCTCTGGTAGTTTGATCCCAGCTCCATCCCAGTGCCAGGACAATGTTCCTGGTCCTTCCCTTCTCAAATCTCAGAAACTGGTTCAGATAAGAGGAAGGAGCTTTAGTGCTCACCTCAGAGTCCAGCACTGGGAAACAAGGATCTGACACAAACCTGCCTCCTGCTTTGCCTTTCTCACCACCTCACACACCTACATAGTTCTGACTTCCCTCTTGTGGCAGTTGCCTGGACGGGTGGCTGTGCCACCAGGAGCTGGCTGCAGAGGTCCCAGCAGGCAGCACAGGCAAGGCTGAGCAGAGGGTAAGCCACCACCTTGGAAAATCACTGTGTGAAAGCCAGCTTAGTAGTGTCTGTTCCCTCCAGGGACAAGAAGGAAGATTTTTAATGACAAGCACTCTAGCTCCCTAAGGATAATAAACACAGGGTTAGCCAGACAAATTAGACAGAAACATTGACTGGTTTGGCCTTAAATCAAAAAATGTTTAAACAATTCTTGAGAAAGAGAAACAAAGAATGCATTTCATCTGCAAAGCCCCTTCCTCCCACTACAACAGAAGTCTAGTTTAAATTTAATTTCCTAAGAATAAGGAAATGAGTAAATCCAGGAGGCAGGCAGGGCAGGAGTTCTGTAGAAGAACCCCAGCATTCCTATTCCAGGAACACCTTCTCCAGCCCAAGGGAGCAGAAGTAAGAGACAAATCAGAGGGAGGAGAACGATGGAGCAAATAATGGAGGAGAGAAGGCAACAGGCTGTACTTCAGGAAAAGGAGAAGCAGATACTGCAGCTGTGGGCTTATCAAACTCCCAAACAAAGGGTGTACCTCAACACTGAAAATATGACTGCTGTGCACTAAAAATCCCCAAGGATGGCCATGAATGGGAAGGGCTGATATTGGAGGAGAGGCTGCTCCCACTGTGGGAGGTAAGGGGGTGCAGCTCCAGCACACGGGAACTTCAGCTCACCTGAAGTGGGGCTCTGGTGCTACCAAAGCACCCACACAAAGACTAGCTTGTCTTTCTCCTCTGTCTCCAGCAAAGCCTGGCACTGGCCTTGTATTATCACTGAGACAAGGCAAAGCCAAAATGTCCAAGAGTGGATCTCAGGCTCCCTTCTCAGAGTAAAAATGAGGAATGGCTTCTTCCTTCCATACTTTTCTGCTGTTGAATTGCATGAGCTGACACACGTGCTCTCCTCCAGCTGCCCCTGGGGAAAGCATCTTCCCCCTGTGCTGTATCCTCAGTGCTATGGCTTTTATCCTGCTCAGTACAGGCTCCTCCTTTCTCAGCTGGGACCTCATCTCTCTATAATCTCCCTACACCTAAGACCTCCACACAGTTGCTCAGTACCAGAACTCCACAACTGTGACAGGAGTTCCTTCTGCTACATCAGTAAGTCTGGACTTAAAAAAGCAACAACTTCCCTTTGGTGGAAGAGCATTCTGCCAAGCAAAGTTTGTCTACCCAGTTCCCAAAGGGGCTTTCTCTGCCTGTGGGGAACATACAACAAAACTGAGAACAGTGATTTTAATGAAACTAAAAATAATAACAAAAAAGAGGTTCCTTCAGTTCTTCTAAGCAGGCATTATGGCATACAACATGTGGAAGGAGCTAAGGTGAACTGCATCTCAATTTGATCAGAAAAAGACATTCATCCTCTTTCTATTCCAGTCTCAACCTTATTAGGTAAGCAAGTGATTTTTGTTGACAATTTTCTCTTCTCTAGAGAGGGGACTAGGAGGAAAAAAGAGAGAGAGAGACATAGGTAGGAATGAAGCACAAGGGTGGCACGTGCTGGGAAACACAGGACCATGGAGCCCTGATGGAATTAAGGGCAATGAAAGCCCTCCTGCTTTAGAACAGCTGGCCAGAAGTGTCACACTTCTTTGTGCCAATGCCTTTCTCTTTATTCTCCTCCATAAGATTTGTTTGGAACATGAGTCAGTCTTTCCACTGAAAGGCTAAGAGAGCAAGTTCATTATGTTTTTCACCCTCTGCCCACTGCGACCCAGGCTCTGGGCACCTTGTCAAGCCATCTGCTAAGGGAGGGTAGTGGTAAGGGTGGAGACAAGAATTTGCCTCCACAGTGAGCTGAACAATCCAATACAACAGCAGACCAGATCCTCACTGCTCATGCCTGAGCAGACACAAGCCCAAACAGCTGCAACTAGCACCCTCCTAAATCCCTTGCCCTCTCCATGGTCTTGTGTGCATGGCCCAGGCTGCAGATGTGGGCTGAACACACTCTGGATTGCACAGTAGTCCTAAAACAGTCTACTGGTCCCAGGGAGAAGCTGCCCATGGCCCATTTCTTCATGAGCTCCCTCACACCCTAAGTGCAGACAGACAGATCCTGCGCCTTGATAGGCTTTGTTTGCCCACAATCAGAACTTTGCCCTTCATCTTCTCCCTTTTATTACCCCACGGTAAGTAAGAAGGAGTAGCCAGCATGTGCAAGCAGCAGCCCTGCTACAGGCACAGCCTGCAGGGCTCTAGAGGCAGCCAGAGAAGCATTGAACAGTCCCACATGTGTAGCCTTGCTATGCAGAGCCGATGCTGTGCCTGCTCTGGTCCTCACCTCTGAATTGCCCAAGAAGTCATCCATGCCAACACTGAGATCACAGCTTCTAGATCCCAACGTTTTCTGAAAGTACACACAGCCAAGCCCCACTATGCCCTCTTCCCTCCCCCAATACTGGTAACGAACAGCAAGGTGCACACAAAATCCATGCACGTGAGCACTCATGCACACAGGCAACCATGCACTTGCAAACATACACTCCCACCATCTGACTGCGTCCCCTGCAGCTTATCCCAGCCCCAACAGAAACATGTACTGCAAGGAAGATGCTTTGGCTTCTCTAGGACAAGTCCATGCAGTGTTGTGGAGGCAGGGGGGAAAAATGAACACAAAAAACCTTCAAAACCCAGCTTTCCCCTCTGGCTCCTATCTCTCTGCTCCAGGATTGGTATAGTACTGGGGCAAGATCCAGCCCAGGATAGAATGCATTAAGTCTGTGCAAGGGGCTGCATCTTGAGAAGGACACCCTGGAAGCAAAGGATTGCTCTTCCCCAAAATACCCTTTGAATATAGAGGTATTAAAAAAAAAAAAAAAAAGCAGCATACTGAGATGCTTGTGCACATTCACTCATCCAAAAAATGCCAGTGACACACATCTGCACACGCAACCACTCACAAGAGTTTGTGCCTGCTGACTCACACACTCACTGAATAGCCCAGGCTTGCATCTATACTTGCTCCAATCCACAAAGGATGAGAGTGGATGGGAACAGCTGCCTTCTCTCCCCATGGGACCCTCTCAGCCTCCCCCAGAGGAACATCAGCCAGCTGGCTGCAGAGATTCTCTGCAGCCAGCAGGAGAGGTTCAGAAGATGCAAGGAAGTCTTTATGCTACTACAGAAGAGGTCCTCAACATCTCCCTTCCTCCTGTCCAGGCCTCCCTTCATGTGACAGGAATTTGGGTTCCCAGGCATCACCCTGGGATGAAGGGAAGAACAGGAAGCGAGGGAGGGAGGGAGGGAGGAGACCCCAGAAAAATGGCACACCCTGCCCATAAACAAAGGAAACAAAAGAAAAGGAACAGACAAAAACACCTGACTCTTTCCCTTTGTTGTGAAGTTCTGATTTCCTACCCGAGCCTGAGCCTCGGTGGCCTCACCCAGCGCCCTCCACCTTTCGGTAGGGGTTCTCCAACAAGTAGCGGAACCGCTGGTAGTTCTTGAGCAGGTACTTGGGAGCATACATCTGCTCCTTGGGGTCAGCAGGGGGATACTCCTGCATAGTACCATCAAACCAGCCACCAGTCCGGATCAGCTCCCGGATATAATTGAGGTCTCGTTTATCCTCATAGTCACCCCAGCGGGGAAAGTCCCCGTTCTGGGCTGACACCAGTTTGAAGTAGATCCCCTCTGGGGTGAAACACCAGGAGCAGTGCCAGCCAGCAAAGTGGAGGGGGCTGCCCAGTGACCACTGCACCAGGATGTGTCCCGTGCTGTTCTCATACTGCCGAAACCCCGGCATGGTGTAGTAGTCACGGCGTCGCAAACGTATCCCGTCGGTAGCGTAGACAGCCTGGAGCATCCCCATGGTGCAGCCCGAGACCACCTCCAAGGTGCCTGGTTGCTTCCAGAAGAAGCCATAGAGCGACTTGCGCATGTGAAAGGCGAAGGGCTCCGTCCAGCCATCGTAGAGCTTGAGGAAGAGCACGCCATCACGGGCCGGGATCTCATCAGCATCATCGATGATGAAGACGTCATCCGGGCGCAGGTTGCGGAGGCGAGAGACGCCATCCCGGGTGAGGAAGGTTCGCAGGTAATCGTCAGCAATCCAGCCGTCCTGGCGGCCGCCGGGGGGGAAGTGGTCCAGGAAAACGTAGAGCACCTTGTGGCGGATGTAGTCGAAGGAGCCGTTGAGGAGCATCTCGCGGAACTTGAGGGGCCGCGGCTCTCCGTAGGCTGTGAAGTTGGACTCGCACACCACGAAAGCATCCACCACATCTCCCAGCTCATGGAAGCGGACATCCAGCAGGTCAAACTCGTGGTTGACGTTGATGGCGTTGATGACCCGCCGAGGGACCTCTCGCGGCACGAGGCGGTCCTTGGTGGGAAGGTTGGAGTACTGGACCACGGTGGGGACCCCGCAGCTGGGGCCGTGCCAGCCCGGCAGACACACACATTCCACCCACTTGCGCCGCTTGGTTCCGCCAGCGCTCAGCGGCTTCCGAGCCGGCCGCCCCGAGGCTGCGCCATCCGCCCGCTCCTCCTGCCGGCCTCCCACGGGGGGCTTCTCCAACACCTTGGTGCCTGGTTTAAAGCAAACGCCGCCAGCTTTGGTACGGACAAAGTATTCCGTCGAGTCTTCTGGCAGCGCGAACTCAGCCTTGTGCAGCTCTTCGCTGGCTCTGCTGGGAGACAGGGGCTGGAGCAAGGGGGAGTGGGAGTACAGGGGTGTGCGGAGGAACTCTGCACCCCCGGGCTCAGGGCTGACCTGAGGCGTGACGGGGGCATTGTTCCAGAAGAAGCTGGAGACGAGGTTGGGACTAAGTGAAGCCAGCTCCCTGGGGAAGGTGACATAGGACAGGGCCTTGAGGAAGTGCAAGAAGGAGATGAGGCAGAGACCAGCCATGCAGAGAGTCAGAAAGAGTTTATGGCGTCTCATCTTCATCCTGTGGAAGAGCCATGAAAAGCAAAGTCACATTCAATAGTTACTGAGGTGCAAAAAGTTTACTGTTAGAAAAACAGGTTGGGGAAAGCATGGAATGCTGGTCCAAATTCAGCAGGCATCTTTAGAGACTTGACTCCAAGAACTACACTCCCACCCCTTGCCATCTTCAGTGAGCCTTTTGCTTCAGCTGGGTTATACCAACATGAACCTCTGCTAGATCAGCCTCATAAACCCACAAGACAAAATAAAGACAAAAGACAAGAAAGGCACTGGCGATGGGGTAGAAAGATAGGAAATCCAGAATAACAGGAATTCATGATCTAGTGAACTCACCACACTTGGCAGATTTGTCCCTATTCACCAATGGAAATTAAATTAATGTAAACCTCCTCAGAGGTGCATCACCAGAGGGTTGGGGGAAAATGAAGAGAGCAGAGAGCAGGAAGGGTGAGAGAGCTGAAAAATGGTTGAAGCATGACTGGTGCAAGAAAGGCAGTTTTAAAGGACCAAGATCATTAGTCAGACTGCCAAAGGCAGCCTGCACTCTCTAGATCCTTTCAGTGTTTGTTCAACACACACCCTAAAAAACCACCCTTGTTCTTAGGAAATACTACCTAAGTTCACATGGAGGACAGGAAAACAAAAAATAAAATTAAGAACCTGTCACATTTACTCTTCTCCCACCTGTGATTCTCAAGTACACTGTATCTCCATATGTTGTCACTTGCTTTTTACTTTCTGTGGACCAGATGCTGTTTTTCTGCATCTGGATCAAGGTGACAAAAATAAATGCCTAGCTGTCTCTGCTGGTAATACTGTGCCATCATGATAGATCCACGTCAGACAAGGAAGAAGCCAGCAGTGCAGAGCCGTTCCCTCCAAACAACATGAAATATTGCCTTCATCCTCCCCTCCTCAACCTCCCCTCCTCCAGCCCAGGCAGGGAACACAGAGCTGCTGTCAGGCAGAGAAGTGATTGAAGACTACAATTCAGAGAAAAAAACAAAACAAACAAAACAAAAAAAACCCTAATCTCTCAGTGCTTCACCAAGGAAAACTAGAGAAGTTTATCTGCTGTTTAGGGAAAGGCAAGTTGGGGTAAAAGTGGGTATGGGAAAGAGGTCATCCAAAAGTAGTTTTCAAGGCAGAGGCTGTCCTGGAGCATGACACCCTTCCTGCAGTGACAGACAGATGCAGAGATCCCCATGTATGTGACACGTACCACTTGACTCCCTCCACATGCTCCATTCCGGTGGTTCCCACCCTGCCGCAGTCTTCCCTTCTGGGGCCAAAGTTCCTGAGCGGTACCATCACTTATAAAGGTTCCACCTGGCACACGGTGGTGCCAGCAACGCCTTCACTGGGGGCAGTCCCTGCTCTGGGGGTCATGGGGGAGCTGCTCCACACCACCAGTCCCACAGGTTGACACGTGGGCACCCAACCCGCTCCTGCCACTTCAAAGGGTGTTAGGTAAAATACAGCACAATGTGTTTAGTATTAAATCCTCAGGTTAATTAGTAAAGTGAAAAGCCATAAAGCATTTAGACACATGGCAACTGCCCAAAGGAAAACATATTTGGCTTTCCACAGATGGCTCTGACATGGACTTTGGTAGAGGGGCTGTCGACAGTTATACCTTACAGCTCAGCAACAGTGTTTCTAGACATTTGGAAGCCACTATCCACTGACATTGTCCCCAGTGCTCAGGTGACAGGGGAAGGAGTCCCAGGTTAAGCTCTAACTGAAGGAGTGCAAGCCTGAAGTTGGTGGAAAAGTTACAGCATAGCCATGGGAGGGGAAAAACTTGAAAGAAAAATAAACAAGGAAAAAGGAGAGAGAGCTTGATTCTATTGGTTAATGTTTAGTAGGGGTTTTGATATACTTTGCCACAACACAAGTCAGCGGCAGGGCAGGGTGCTCTGGGCACCACTGGGAGACCATCTCATCAGGCACATAGAAAAGGAGGAAATGGCTCTCCTCAAGGGGCTGCACCACGGCAGACCCTCGCCTCCAGCACTCCTCCACCTCAGCTCCACAGCCCGACCTCACACCCCTGGTCATGGCTCAGCTGGTGGGGCATCACCTTTGTAGAGGCCCAGCCATTAAGGGGCTGGATATTCTTCTGTTAAAAGCCATAAAAGATCATCTTGGGGCTTGCTGTCAAGCTTTCTTCATAGGGTCAAACCAAAGGGCTGTAGAAAACCCCATGAGCACAGGGCTCTTTCTATCATGATCTTTTTTTTCTTAAGGTTCTGTTAATATCTTGCAGAAGCAGTGAGATCACTTGTAAGGTAGAGGAATATTCAGTGCCTTTTCCTTGCACATCAGCAGTCTTCAGTCTGTCTTGAAGTGTAGAGAAGAGAAGAGCACAAGGAAGCCAAAAGCCCACTAAATTAGCAGTGACTGGGTGTCAGTAGAAAGTGTACCTCACTGGTAAATGAGTACAGCTTTCTCCAGTCAGGTGTCCTGTGACTTCTCCAAGGCATTACTTCCAGCCATCAGGCTGCTCTCTCAGGCACTGAATCCCAGGCAAGATGAACAGCTGACCTGCTCCAATACAGCAACCCCAATGAGTGCCAGGTAATGCTGGTTTTGCTCCAGTTCCTACAGGACACACAGATGCAGGGCACACGGCTTCCTCTGGGCCGGCTGAAGACAAGTGCTGAAGGTATCACACGAGGCACATCATCTTCTCAGATGGCTGTGATGCTCTGCATGCCACAGTAAATTCCCAGACAAAAAGCCATAACTCTTGACATTCAACAAAATGCTCTGCCTTCTGAGATGTAGCACGCCATGTCAACATAGCAGGGTGCATGGCTTTAGGAAGCAAAGCACATTTTCCTCACTTGACACTTGCATACATCAGTATCTGCCAGGCTCAGCATATGGCTCTGCAGCTCTTCACCCAGGGGCACAATGAGGTCTGGGCAGGGCTGCACTGGGTTGTTGTGCACAGCTCTGCCCAGCTGCTCTTCCAAGCAAGCTGGCCCTGCAGGACCCTCTGCTGTTCCGCTGCTGACACGGCCCAGGAGGCAACTTTCACTGCTCAGCTGGTTTTGTTAGGGAGTGGGAACACAACCCCATTTCCTAACCCCTCCTGGAAGAGGGGAAGCAAAACAGCAAGGTGTGTCCTTTTCAAAAATCTCTTCCCTGGGAACCACCTTCATTCTCACATGCCAGGGATTCTTCTGCTGGGGCGTGGAGAACACTCATGCACCCTTGGGTGAGCCAAGACACTAAATACCATCATGGATCCCTTCCCATATCCTCTGATCAGCCCTGCTGTGAAAGACGTGTCTGGTGACAGCCAGCTGGAGACAAAAGCCAGCAAGGGAGGATTACCCACCCTCCCCATCCAAAACGTTTAGAGGTGGTGGAAATGAGAAGGGAGGTACCAGTCAGGGAGACATCTCAGAAGAGCCCAGCTGCTCCAACATAAAGCAGCTATCAATGACCAGGAACACAGAAAAGAGCAAGAAGAGGTATTTCCCTTCTGACAATTTTGACTGAGGAAGGGGGGGGAAAAAGTCAACTTGATCTCTGGGAGAGTGATCAAGTTGCTGTCAGGTTAAAAACAGCAGCAAGAAAAGCTTTAATGTTCAAGTATAAGAAAAAGCCTGAAGTAGCATGGACAGTCAGCTCCATTAAGACAAAGCTCTTTAGGGAACGCACAGTTATAAACTGCTTCAGCAACACTCAGTCCTGGAGAGACAAGCTGAAAGCTTCTTTTTGTAAGGGGTCCCTTTGATATTTCCTTACTTTAAGTTCTGTCTCTACCATGCAGGGGAAGTGCTTTCAGAAAAGGAGGAAAGCTAGAATTGCTATGCACATGAGTTATCCCCAGGCACCTGTTACCATTTTAGTGACCAGTTGATTTATACCATCCTGAAATAATATACTTATTTTTCAAGAAGCCAGAGAGAAAGACATGCACCGGTAAGAGCTGGTTGCTGGTACAGGCAATTCCATCTTGTTAGACTCCTTAGACCTCTCCCATGGTTACAAAGAAAAAACAGCTGTGGAGGACAAGTCAGAGCAGAAGCTTCTGGTTTTCCCCTGATACCAAAACGCTCATCTTCTCTGCCTAAAGTTATTCCATAACACTCATGCAGTAACATATTTGCAGATCACTCAGACAGTTCAACACAAAGCAACAATTCAAATCAGAATTGCTTTCACATGGCAGATTGAAAACCCAGTACCCTCCACTCCACACGGAGGGCCCAACTCTGCTCCAGCTAGACACAAACAGAACAGGCTCCACATTTCTGGAGTACTAAGTCTACCTGCCATCCCCAAGCATAGGAACAAAGCAGGCATCAGAGCCACAGCACCTCTAAACATTCTAAAAGTCTCAAGTTAGTTTTGTCCTGCAAACAGTCACAGAAGGAGAAACCATAAAATTTAGTATTAGTCAACAACTAAAACAAGCTCAGGGACAGCAGGACTGCACTTTGCTTAAGGGTAGGAAAAGAAGATTATCTGCTATTGCAGGAAAATCTGAGAGAAGCAGGATGTACCAGAAGGTAGCTGAGGCTCAGCATCTCTCACATGAAGGATGCCACAGTGTTTTCAAGGACTGCAAGCTACAAGGACGTCAGCAAGAAGCTCTGGCAGTCACAGCACAAGGTGGTTTGAATGTAAGCAGGTCCATATCGGCTTCCTTTCAAGTTCCAAGGACAGAATAAAACATTCTTCTGTGTCCTTCATCAAGAGCTGCTGCCCACAGCACTAATGCAAAACAGCAATACCTCACACTCCGCGTTTCCTTTGCGGCCTTGGGGCAACCGACCCCAAGGTGCCACTGACTCGGTGCCAGCCCAAACAGCTGGATTGAGCCATCCAGCACAGCCACTCTCCAAGCAAGGTCAGGCTGAGGGAGAGCAAGGCTCTGTCCTAAGCACCTCCCCTCCATTTCTGCAGACAGATAATAAGAGTGGTAAGGGAACCACTCAACAGCGTGCCACCGTAACCTCCATTTGCCTCCCAGAGCTGCCATCCACACACCAGTAACAAGTCTTGTCAAGTCATAAAGAAAACCAGATTGAGGAAAAAAGATGGCTAAAGGGTGAATCTACACAAAACTAGGGTTTGAGGTCAGACAGGGAAGGGTGATAGCACAGCACAAAGAAAGGCACTGTCTTCCCCTTCCCAGGGCAGACAGGCACATGATGTATATGTCAACCACAAGCCTCCAGATTGCGTGCAAGACCTTGCTAAGTCTCAACAGACCTGCAGTATCTACAATAAAAAAACAAAAACAACCAAATCAAGTATCTTTTATGCATTCCTCTAGGAGACCCAAGTTCTCCACACCAGTAGCTACTATCTGCTGCACACAGAAACTAAGATGGATGCAACACAAAGCCTCCAGCTTTTTAAGAGCTGTGGCTGCTCACCTCTGCAAGCACAGTATCTTCAGAACCCACACTTCCCATGGGCTTTCGTTGCTTCAACTGTTTTCCCAATTGTCTTGTCCTGTCCTTCAGTGGACTAAGCCTTGGTTATTTTAGATGCTACACCTCCAGTCACAGCAAGACAGCTGCACACTGTGGGACAAAGCAGCTCTTAACCCTCCATACAGAACATATGGGACCCGGAGACAAAGTGGTCTTTGCTGACAGGATTTTGTCTCGAAAATCTTCCAGAAGCCAGCAGAGCAGACCAACCAGACTAACATCTGAACACCTTCAGAGTCCATTAGAAAACCGTCCACTCAAACAGACTGTTCTTACTGTAGTGACCATATTACTAATAGCAGCATAATTATATAATTCTCCAACCCTAGTTTCAAAGATCTCAGAAAAGACTAGAAAACTCTAGTGGAATCCAGTAACGGCCTACAAGACACCAATTTAATTTTATCCAAGAAGTACTTGGACGTCACAAGGGTGCAGTACTGCATGCTAAAGAAAAATAAGCTGGATTTCCAACTCCACTGAAATCTATCAAATATTCTTCTCCATATCCTTCAGATATGCTGGGCTCCCTTGTAGCTAATCTTCTCTCTCCAGCTAAATCCAGTCTCACCATAGGAATTTCCACTGCTTCAGAGATGCTTCTGCACACTCTAATCCTTCAGAGGCTCTCAGAAGCTGCACCTTTAATTTCTTAGCATCACTAGTCTGAGAGCTCTTCCCGCTATAAGAGAAGCAGCACCTCTCTCCCTCACTTATATGCCTGATGTCCTGGGAGGACTCTCCCTCAACCCTGCTTATTGCCTCCCCAAAACATCTGGTTCCACGAAGTCTGCTGTGATGGCCCTGGAGATTGCATCAGCACTTGGCTCCAAGGTTGGGCCTCTCTGCACATCAGAGGGCGAGCTGAGGCACTGCTCACTGCACTCACCCAGGATGCAAGAAAAACACGGGACTGCTCCAACTGCACAGCAGTCAGTCACTGCCAGATAGAGCTGCTTAGGTCTCCTGGTATCTTACAGGGCAGGAATACTCCATCATGTGGAACAGGAAAGGGAAAAGGGACAACACTGCACAAAAAAGCAAACTTACATCATCAGACAGACCATGGGGTAATCAAACAAATATGCAAGATCTCCCGTTTGAGGCCTTGCAAAGAGGGACAGGTCAAAATCAAATCATGCTTTCAGAGACTTCAAGTGAGGCATGTAATAACACAGGCTGTTGTGTCAGAGGCTCTCCCCCCTCACTCACCACCATCACAGCTTACCCATCCCTCAGTTGTCAGTTGTATGAATTCAAGCTGTCAATCACATGAAAGGCTGCTTTTACAGCCATATCAGCAGCAGATCTAACTGGGTTAAAAATAAACTTGGAAGAAAACGCCTAGGCATGGGAACAAGCAGCTGACCAGCAGAAACTTTCTAAATCA